TGTGTGTGTGTGTGTGTGTGTGTGTGTGTGTGTGTGAGACTCCAGAAGGGACATTGGTGTCCTGTTCCTTTGCTCTCCACCTTTGTCTCTTGAGGCAAGGTGGCTCCCTTATCCTAGAGCAGTGAGTGCAGCCACCCCCAGGCATCCTCCTGCCTCCATGCCCACAGCACTGGGATTTCAGGTCTGTAGCCTTTGTGTGAGTTCTGGGAATTCAAATTGAGATCCTCATGCCTGCACAGCAAGGACTCTTACCCCGAGCCATCTCTCCCAACCCTGACAGTATGAACATTTAAAGATGGAGAACATGTTCCACCTAGCATTAGGCAGCCCTCTGGAAGAGAATCGGGTGCTGTGTGGCCCAGCGATCAGCCTCTTCATCTCTGTGGTGTGAATGAACATCCACACCCCAAAACAAGTCTGGACCCTTTAACAGCCTCCTCCCTTTCCCACAGCCGCCTCTTCCCTAGGCCCCGGAACTATCAGTCTTCTCTCTGTCTCTGGTTTGCCTGTCCTAGAGAGTTCTTGTGAATGGGTCTCACTACCCATGGTCCTTTGTGATCCCTTACACACTGTCTCCTTGGCGGCATGTGCCACCAGAGCTCTGTTCCTTTTTGTGGCTTGATAATATTCCATTGTATAAACTGCACATAGTGGGGCTCATACCCATCGTCCTACCACATAGAAGGCTGAGGCAGGAGGATTGCTGAGACTAAGGCTTCGTAGTGAATTCCAGGCCAGCTCATGCTACAGTGTGAGACTGCATCTCAAAAACCAACTAAATAGGAAAAAAAAATCAAACAAAAAACTCCATTGTGTGGCTTGATCACAACTGGCCCATTCATTCACATGTTGACCGACATTGGGGGTGTGTCTACATTACACCTATTATAAGCAGCATGGCCATGAACATGCTGTACGAGCATTCATTAGAGAGGTGTTTTTCCTCCATTCTTTGGAGGCTACGCTCTTGGACTTTTGGCTGCTGCTCTGGCCTTGGGTGGGTCCCGCTCTCGGATGTAGGTGATACACAGGCCCAGCTGTGTCTCCCCATGAGGAGCTGGCTGGCTCTCCAGCAGTGAGGGGGCCTACCTGCAGGCTTCTCTTTGCACACTTGCAGGCTGAGCTGCTCTCACGGGGTGAGGACCCCCCCCCCCCCCCCCTTGCTGACCCACAGGTACATGCGGTGTTTTGCTGTGAGGGGCCTCAGATTAAATTCGGAGTGCGCTGCTCAGAAGCAGTGACTGAGCACCCCAGATCCAGCCCCTCCCGCCAATCTAAGCACAGCCTTTGCCTCCCACCAGCTTTACAGTTGCTGGGCCAGGTGCCAGGCACAGACACGTGCTTCCCCTGACATGGGCACCTCTCTTACCCCACGCCTATCTCCAGCCGCAGGTGAACCTGAAGGTACAAAGCCAGGCCTGGGGACTGGTTACATCATCATCATTGCGGTGGCTGCGGTTACAGTGGTGGCTGGGGCGGCAGCCCTTCTGATCCTGCGTTACCAGAGAATGAAGGGGCAATACAGTCTCAGAATCCAGACCGATGACTTCAGCTACCAAGTGTTCTCTCAGTAGGAGTCCCAGCTGATCGGGAGATGGGTAAGAGCGAGCGTGTCCGATGCGACACCCTGCCTCCATCGCCTGTGGAGATGACAGAGTGGCCCCTTGGCAAGGGGTGGAACTCTGTGATCCCTAACTGACAAACTTCTCCCTCCCAAAAGCAGCTGAGAGCAGTCAGAGAGGGAACAGGGCCCATTTGCAGATCAGCCAAGAGTTCTGCCATTTACACCGTGGTCTCAGGGAAGCCAGAGGTAGTGCAGTGATCCTGGTACCCACCCTACATCTTGGCCGGGGATGGTTCCCAGCCTCATCCACGAAGGCCTTGTGTTCACTGGGACGGTCCTTCATGTCCTGGGAGTGCAATGCATCCACTGGATCACCACAGTGCTCTGGCCAGCATTAAACTCATAGCCCTTCTGGCGGTGAGGACGTTCAGCCTATCAGTCACACTGGTATTTTTTTTCGGGGGGTGGGGAGAGTATAGTTTGCTCCCACAGAGAGCAGTATCTGTACGTAGTCCACACACATCCCCCTATAGCTTCAAACCACCTCTCCATCAGCTAAGAGAGCTCAGACGGTGCAAATGCTATTCAGTCACCACACTGCTGCTTGATGATGTTTGGAGCAGACAACTTAATTTTTGTATTAATTTATTTGTTTGAGCGGTGTGTAGGAGAGGTCAGAGGACAACTTACAGTTTGTTTTTCTCCTTCCACCATGTGGGTCCCAGGGATTGATCTCAGCCTTCAGGCTTTGGGTGCCAAGTTCCTTTCCCCACTGAACCATCTCACTGGACCCAGGGACACAGTTTTTAAAAGGATGCTGCTCCATGGTTGGTGGATCTACGGCTGTGGAGCCTGAGGATGGAGGGCCCCTCTCTGAATGGCTCCTTTCCCACCTGGAGACTGACCCTGTGACCTCCTTCCCCACACAGGGCGCTGTATATGATTCATTCACCAAGCACGGGCAGGACTCCACTCTGGGCAGTACTGTGGCACTCTGGGCGCTCTGTGGCCCTTGGGGATGAGACCCCACGATGACAGCAACCTCTGTCTGCCCCCAAGAGGCTGGAGCTGCGGAACAACATCCACCAGGCCCGAGACAGGTCTGCTGAATATGTGGGCAGAGTGCTGGAGCGGCCTTCGCCCTCAAATCCAACATGGCTCCTCCACCACCCAAGCTACCGGCTCAGCCTTCCCAGCTTTGACACTCAAGCTGCCTTTGTGACTCTCGCTCACCGACCATTACATAACACGTCACATCTTCGCAGACACTGGACAGTGCCTGGGATGCTCTTTCATGAATGGATCTACCTGCTACATTCTCCGCTGTGTCACGGTCCTCATGCAAACACTCTAACTCTGCGCTGCTTATCAGCAAGTGGCTTTCACTTACTCGGTGACTCAAGACGTCCTAGATGAATACGGGAAGCTTTCTACTGAGTGATAGACACGTGATGTGTGTGCTCTACTCTTCCACGGCACATCCATGGCCATTTTTCATGTAATCCCAGAAAGGGGAAGGGGCAGTTTACCCACTACACCACAATAAGGCAGGGGAGGGGTGGGGGGAGGTATGTACGTTGCTAACAGGTCCTCTACTTTGATGATTTGAAAGACCAGAATGGTTAGCTAGCTCACACCTAAGGCAATAGTGAGATTAGAATTACAACAGGGTCTTAGCTTTTCATTGGTATGCTTAATTCTGTTGTGTGTGATTGTCACACAGAATATTTAGGGGAATGGGTCTTTTGATTTAATGCATATTCTTGGAGTAAGAATGACAAACAGGAATCTGTGTTTCAAGCAATAAATTTCTCCTGCACTGAAGTCTGGCTGGCTGTGCTGCCTCCCCCTGTGTGGTGCAGTTCACGTGACAGTTTCCCTTAGTACCTCCAAGGGCCAGTTGGTTCTGTGCCGGACGCTCCAGGGAGGTGCTGGGGCTCCCCAAGTCTCATCCATCAGTTCCGACTTCATCTCATCACTTTTCACTGACTGTTCTTGAGAAAAAATACATAAGATCAGAAACCCTGGTTACTGAGCCCAGGAGCGGGCAGCTCTTTGGAGTTTGAAGTTCTCTCACATTTCACCGGTTTTCCTGCAGTTAGTAGGTCGTGTGCTGTTGTCTGTGCTCCTGTAACAGGGAAGGCTCGGCCTCCTCCTCACTCTCACTCCTTGGTCTTTTCTTGGGTGAACGCTTCCTGAACAGTCACGGTGCACCAGACCCTGAGCTCAGGGATTCAGAGAAGACAGTAAGAGGACAGAAGTGCCCAGTCTTCATGGAGTACACAGTTGTGTTGGGGAGGGAGATACTTAGATCAATAGAAAATGGAACCGAGACACATGTGATATATATTCCCCTGATCTGTTCTACCCACCCACCCATCCAACTACCCATTCATCTATCCATCCATCTACTCACCCATCCACCAATCCATCTTTTCATCCACTTTTTCACACATCCACCCATATCCTCAACCACCACACCCTAAGCCATCTATCCCATCCATCTACAGCGGCAATTAACGAGGCAATTCCATGTAGTTTATCTGGTAATTAAAAGAGGTTTATTTCAGGGTAACTTACAACCAATAAAGGGTCAGTTACAGGATCCGGGAGAGGTGAGGTTCAGTCCAGCATGACTCTCTGGAGAACTCTGACTTGGTCTGCAATCCAGCATCCAGGGTCACGAGGAGCCGAGAGAGCTGGCACTGACGCATCTCGGGTCTTAAAGGGTTTCGTCTTGGCCATGCCCCAGGGGCAGGTCATAGGCATGTGTGGCAGTTACCTGCCGCCTCACTAGGGGCAGTGCTTCAAGGTCAAAGCTGGAACAGCTACTCACTACATCCATCAGTTCATCCATCCATCCTCCATCCATCCATCCATCCATCCATCCATCCATCCATCCATCCTTTCATCCCACCTATTTACCTTCTAACCTATCCATCAATCCATTGATTCATCTACTCAACCACTTATCAATCAATTCATTGATCTAGCTACCTATTGATCCATCTACACTCACAAATCTATCCATCTACCCATCTACCCATGCCCTCCTCACTTTTCATCCCATCCACCCACTCCCTCCCCACTTTTTATCCCATCTACCCACTCCCTCCTCTCTTTCCCACCCCACTACTCATCTATTGATCCACTTATCCAAGCATCCCTCCCTCCCTCCCTCTCTCCCTTCCTCCCTCCCCCCCTCCCTCCCTCCTTATAACCTAGGAATTTTTGTTGCATCTATGTTCTTATGTGGATGTCAGGAAGACAAGAAGTATGGGACAGAATCCTTGCTGTTCATATTCACAGCCCATTTGAAGAAACTCCCCGTGAACAGTGCATTCAATCAAGCCAAGGAATCCTGGGGGTGGGGGGGGAGGGGCTCATGTGTGTTCACATTTCTTATAGATGCTCCCTTCAAACACATTCTTTTTGGGTGTCCCAGTTAAAGGGATTCAAGCCAAACAGCATTGAAATAGAATGTCCCTGTCACAGATGTCACTCCCAGCTGAGAGGTCAAACTTCAAGGCTCTGGAGACCCTAGTGCACAGGCAAGCAGTCAGGTCTCTTGTTGGTGGAGGGAGATGGCAGGCATTTTCTCACTCAGCACTCCCCAGGGCCCCCATGGGTGAGGCTCTCACTTTAGAGCTGAGGACACGGGCATCAGTTAGTCAAGTTCTATAGAGTGTGTTGAGGACACAGAATAGGAATCAACCTTATCTGCTGTCAAAACCATTGGAACTAACTGATCCGTTGTCAAGCCTGCCTCCCTCTCTGCCTCCTGGGGTACGGGAGAGGAAGGCCTTGTGGGTTTCTGGATATACCTGAGATGTCTAGATGGTGGTGGGGCTCCCCAAAGTGGTCATCCTTTACCTGCTGTGGTTCTGTGTGGGTCCATGGGAGTTCTCACCTTGGCCCTGATCTTCCCAACACAGGGGTCTCATGATACACAGTAAAGATCTGGTGGAGGTCAAGGTCTGACGGAAGGGGTCTGTTTGTGGTAGAGGGTGTGAGGGAAGAAGGGCTGTTGGGGGAGAAAGTCTGATGGAGGTGGAGGGCCTGATGGAGACGAGATGATCTCAAGGAGAACTTCAGAGCTCTGCCTCAGTGCTCGGCCCAAGCTGCAGCTCTCCATCCTCACCACTAGATGGAGCCCTGAGCCAAGTCTGCACCCAGGGCCGTGAAAACCCTTGTGTTTCTGCTGCAAACACAGCTCTGGCTTCTTGTTTGTTTGTTTGCCTCCTGCCCTTAGGCAAAGATCAACTTGAAGTTTTTCCACAGGTCTGTGTCTGTTGGCACGGGGCCTTAGTGGTGACGCTAGTCTTTGAGAGTAGGACCCTTCAGTTCTCTTCAGCCCGCCGAGTTACGGGAAGTGGGGCATGGAACGTGTGGGGAAGGAACACTGCCATCCACTTTCCTAGAGAAAACAGTCCCCTTCTTTCCTCCCTTTCCATTTCTAGGAAGAAAAGACGGTTGGGCACGACGGATTCCTCGATCTTTGTGTCAGGTACATCGTGGGGCCTCCAATCCAGCCCTGGCCACAATGGCTCTTGGTTGCCATGCTCTCGGTCTGCCATGTGAAGTCATGGCTGCTCAGTGCAGTGGCCGGACCAGTAAGACCCCCACATACAGAGCAGATGAGCAGAGTGGGCTTGGATAGCTACCCTGGGACCTCCCTTTCTCCCTGGACCCTCTCCCTTCCAGGAGCTTAGAGGAAAGAAAGGTGGATACTACCGGTTATGAATCAGGCCGGGGCAGACAAGTGGACTCTCCCACCCAGTGCAAACTAAGATGTCTCTGGGCAAACTGTTAGAGCCTACGCCTGCTGAGCCTTCTACCTCCAGGACTGTCAGGTGCTGTCCTGGGAACCTTGGACAAGCGCATGGACAGCCAGGGCAGGAGCCAGTGCTGGAGCTGTGACTGAGGATGTCACCACAGCAGCTGGCGGCATAACCTTTGGCTCACAATGTTCCCATGCTGAGGTCTGGAGCTGCCTCTGGGGAGGAAGTGGCCACTTCCCTTTCTCGGGGTACCCATAAATTTGTTAACCTTGCAGGGCCTGGCTGGCTTCTCCCTGGGGAGGCCTCATTTCTGTATCTTTTCCCTTCCTGTCTATTGAACTACTGCATCGATCCCCATCCCCAGCAGCCCATGGCGTTTCTTGGCGCTGAATCCAATTTCTAATGGCATCCAGCTTCCCTAAGGAGCTGGGCTGCTGTTGCGGAAGTCAGATCCAGGGAATGGCTCATGCTTCTCTTCCTCCACAGTGGGCACTGTTACTAATTGAGTTTCACAAGGGCAACCGTGGGCTCCCCTCTGTGCGGGTCTACTGGACCTGCTCCATCCCTTCTCTCTGTCGCAGATGTTCACTTATCGGAATGGTGCCTGTGAAGCCAACCCACATGGGTCCTCCGTGGAGCAACAGTCAGGGTACTTTGAGCTATCACCGAGATTTCAGTTCCTCTCTGGAAGGTTCCCAGGCAGGTGTGGGCCTGGAACAGAGATGAACAATGCCCTCCAAGCCTGCAGGTCTTCTCTGCCAGGTGCTTTCTCACCTCACACCTGTAGCCAAATCAAGTCTTGCTGGTGCCCAGTGTAGGAGATGGGGCTTGGAAAGGAAGGGGTTGCAGGATCCAAGTCGCCATCCCAGCTCTACCTGGCCTTTGGTTCCCTGGTTTCCTGGCTCTGGCCACCTGCCTAGTGTTGACCATTATCCATCAAGTACAATTTTTTTTTTTCTCCCAGGAAGCTGCTAAGCACGCGCGCGCGTGCACACACACACACACACACACACATACACACACACACCACACAAAAATAACCAACTTCCTCTGAAAAGAATATATAATATAGACTCGGTCAAGATTAGTTTTCAAAGGTAATTCCTTAAGCAAATTCAACTTAGGAATCTTATTTATTTATTTAGCATACATCTGGGAATTTTCAAATCATGTTTGAAGGGGCCCCTGATTCATGTTTGACCAACTCCCAGCCAGGTAAACCTCGCCATCAATCCTGCTAATTAAATTTCCCTCAGACATTTTAAACAGAGTTTACAAATTTAATTTATTCCATTTGTTTTGTGAAGCGCCTCAGCTGCCCCACTCGGGTACGGAAGGGCTGCGGAAAGCTAAGGAGTCTGTTGTTTTCCTGCTGGTTTTGTTGGTGTGTATGTGGGATCCAGGGCTGGAACGTAAGGGCCCTCTGAATGCTAGGCAAGGGCCTGAGCTCATGATGTCTCTGTACACAGGCGGCTCCCAGGTCCTAGTAAACATCCTGGTTCTGTTTGCGTTCCCTTTGCTCTTCCTGGTACCGTTTGACTCAGCACAAGTAATCCACAAGAAGGAGTTCAGTGTAAGCTAGGATCAAGCACATGGGGCAGGCAGGGGCCAGAGGCCATGGGAGGGGAGCCCTGTGATGCCTGGCTCTTGCAGACATCACAGACACATTAAACACAGGAGTCCACTGTGCGGCTTGTCCCTAGGCTCCACGGCAGATGTCTCTCAAGTTCAGAGAGCACCTCTACCTCCGTGGCCATGACCCGAGCAAAGGCTGGTTTCCCTTCCGAAGTGCCAGTGGTTTTTCAGGGTACTCCGTGTCCTCCCGACAAGCCTGCCGTGAGCTGTCCCGGTCTGGAGTCTGCACATCCCATAGATTTGCAGACTCCCAGGCCCTGTCCAGGCTCCTGCATCCCAGTCCACCCTTCCTTCTCATCAGCCTGGCGTCTGCTTGACACAGCCCACCTCTCGGCTTACCCAGCTCCTTTCTGAATTCTCCCCAAGCTCCTCCCATAAGAGGGCCATGACTCCCATAGGGAACATCTCCGTTTTTAGCCAGCTTGGCAGCTCCTGCACAGAACTAGGTTTCTGGTACCGGTGGTCCGCAATCGCTCCCCGCCCCTCTGGGCCTGGCTTTTTACCTAGGTCCTGGAGATGAGACTCGGGTCCTCGAGCCTGTGTGGCAAGCTCTTCACTGACCTGGCCATCTCTCAGCCCTACAGGCAGGATTTTTCCATGTCACCATCTACTGCTCTTTCACCACGTGCCAGGCAGGGCCACATTACTCGTGATGTATATTTAAGCTACCACTCACCCCGAAGGAACCCCAACTCTCTGTGACACTGGGCGGAGAGGAAGACACTGGCCTGGCTGTCCATGAGTGGCCATGGGCCTGGTCTCTGTATATGATAATACTGGGGGCAGGGGGTGTCCCCCAGTAAAGGCTACTCAAGCCTTAGAATCCAGGGTTGTCACTGGGGGTCAGTCATCCATCCTTGGCTTCTCAGATCCCAGGCCTCAACGATCAAAAATATAGAGCCTGACCCAGAGCTCAGACATGCAGAACCAGGTGAGCCCATAATCCCACCTGCTAGTGGCGTCACTCGGGCCCAGGTGGACAAATTAATGCTCATCACATGGCGATGTGACCACAATAATTAGAGTCAAAGCCCAGGCCCTGGCAGCCACAATAAATTAAGTTTCGCCATTTGTCCTCAATATACCAGTTAAAGAGACAGATAATAATGAGAAGCTGAAAGCGGAGGAGTGTCCAGTGTGGCCATATTGGGAAGAAATAAGTGCCCCAAGTCTGTCTTTGGGGAACTCACACGAGGTTCAGGTTTAAATAAAGGGCGGGCGGTATGCATAGCTAAGCAGTCTGGTTCAAGGTGTAGTCCCACCACCATTGTCTGGGCTCTAGTCTTTCAGACAAGTTGTGGGAACTGTGTGAAACCTCTTCCTGGGAGACGAGACTCTGGGGGAAATTTTAGTTCTTGGAGATCCGGTGTCTCAAACGGTTTGACAGTATTGTGTGTGTGTGTCTCTCCCTGCCGTGGTTCCTCTTTCTCCAGAACGGCCACAGTGAGACACTCTAGGAGCTTACGCCTCATATCCCAGGGTTCCCGAGGATGAGTTCTGTGAAGTGTGTAGGGTCTGAGTGGCCCCACCCCGTGTCCCCTTTGCCACACCAAGAACATGTGGTCAGCAATGACAGGGAGCTGAGGCTCTCCATCCCAGCGCTCAGGGATGTGGCTGCGTGTGCCGACCTCCCAGCTCCCAGCTCCGGTTTCCCTTCTGGGTGAGAACATTGTCCCGACCCAGACTGGGCAGAGCTGAACAAAGAGATGTTAGCTCGAGGTCTCTCAGCAGTGCAGAGACTGTAAGTGGCCATGAGAGGGGACAGAGGTGTGTGGTAGGAGATCATATTCTGCATTGCACTTCTCTTGAAGCATTCATAAATATTCTCTTTAGAACAGCAGAAATTGCCATCAGACCAGCTAAAGCAAGCACATTGGTAACCATGGTAACTAAACACTGGGCCAAAAGCCTCAGGTGGACAAGAGGGAGGTCCATATGCTACCTGAGAGATGGAGCTGTGGTAAATGGACCAGACTGAAAACCTTTACAGTCTTGGGGGCTGGAATCTCTGGTCCTCATAGAATGGCATCTGTCCCCATTACACAAGATCTGAAGCCCTAGCAATGACTGTAAATTGTAGCCACTGGTACCCAGACTTGACTTCAGGTAGAGCTTTTGACTAGCACGGACTGGGTAGGAGTCCAAGCTTCCTTCTCCAAGTCTGCCCAAGCCCGGCTTGGATGTCTGCATTTTCAGGTTGGTGTCAAGGTTGAGCTGAATGATTGCGGAGCCCAATGAATCCAGGTCTTCTCTCTGGATCTTGCAATATGAGAAACAAAAACCAAAAAGGGCCTTAAAAGCCAATACAGTCGAGGAAGGAAAAGGATACATTCCTGTCTAGAGCATTCAGTGGGAAACTAGTCCAGCACACAGACCCACATGATCAGAACCAACACCTATAGCTGTCCTTACAGTTACTAATCGGCTGTGTCCAGAATCCTTGTCCACGCCAGCTTCAGCAGGACAGGTTTGAGGAGACACTCAGAAAAGCAAGCTGGGTTTCAGGCCGTGGCCTTATCCAGGTGGGAAGCTGGGTCTGAGCCTTCCCAGCCCTGTGATGGGAGATTCTGCCAAGAGCCTTAAGTGGGACAGCGAACCTGCCGTGCCCAGATATCCCCAGGGAGCATGGTGGCGAGTGGCCGGAGCCTTCGCATCATCTCTGTGATCCTATGGGCTGGAGTTGTTACAGCCCAAGCGTCTCTAACCCAAACACCTGAAATCCATGTTTCCCCACTGTGTGTGTGTGTGTGTGTGTGTGTGTGTGTGTGTGTGTGTGTGTGTTGACGTCACACACCATGTAGAAAGTTTCATACCTGACTTCACGCAGTGGCTGACCTGCCGTGAAGCATAGGTGCATTAAAAACAATGCATAACTTCCTTTTGGGGTGTGTGGGTAAGGCATGGCACACACATGAACTTCACGTTTAGACTTGGGTCTTGACCCCGAGATGAATTATTATTATGTAAGCATTCCCAAGCCTTGTGGATAAGGGACCCTCAACCTGCTACCCCAGAAAGGATGTTTTATGGAAAATCAGCACTCACAGCCTTATTCTTGTGGGACATTTTTAATTTCAATCAATCGAGCCCAGAAAGTTTCATGGCAGGGCATTGGGAGACCAGTATCCAGGGGATCCAAGGCAAGCAGGGACCAGCCTGCTGGTTCTCCTGGTAGTGAGATAGCCCCCAGATGAGCACTAGGGACCAGAGTGGGGGCTGGGCAGAGAGAAACTACCCAGGAAAGTCCCAGGGGATGCCTCCTCTCCACTCTCTGGAAGGCATCAGTAAAGGACCACAGAGTCTACTAGCAGGGCACAGCTTTTCCTGGGCCAGCCGGTCGGAGGAGCCCCTCCCAGTCTTCAGGGGTGGAATGCTGCCCTGACTCTGGGAATGTTGGCAAAAGGCCACCAGGCCTGCTTATTTGTGGAGTGGGCAGGACATGCATCGTGATGCAAGGCTGCTCTTAAGAAGACTCTGGGTTTTCTTAAGTGCACATGCACTTGACCCCAGCCCTTCACAGCTTTGTGTGTGTGTGTGTGTGTGTGTGTGTGTGTGTGTGTGTGTGTGTGTGTGTATAGGTGGGAAAGGGAGGAGTTTCTGGTTTGATAAACCAGAATTATCCTGAACAAGGACCCATGTCCATAAAGTAATGAGGAAATCGTAAGGCAATTACCTCTCTCCCATGATGCTCTGAGCAAGACCTTAATCCTATTTGCAGATTTCAAACCCCAAAGTGGATCCTTGCTGCCTCAGGGAGTGGACTGTAAGGCCTACAGAGGACAAGAGCTGGATGCTGCTCTCTGGCTCCTAGGGACTCAGCTCTAGAGGGTACCGTGGGCAGAGCCTAGCTCTGAGAGGAAGGTTATGCCAGGAAGGTCAAGGTGTGAAAGTCAAGATGGAGTCACTGGTGTCAACCCTAAACAAAGAGGCCACAAGGGCTTTTCTGCAGAATCACCTGACAGTAACTAGTACGGAAAAGGGCCAGGACCCCGAGTCCCAGCAGAGGCCACCACAGCCTCACACAAGGACATTTGCCAGCAGAGGCCAGCTGAAGCTTGACCACGCCCATAGTTCTCTGTGGAACTTGAGTTCCTGTGGAAAGGCACTGCTCTCCCAAATCACTGTCTGTATGCATCCTACAGGCTCTCTGGTTGTTGTTGTTTTACCAGAGTGTAAAAGCAACCATCAATGGGAAATAAAGAACAAAACTCATATTCCTATCCTCAAGGACTTTGGTACAGAATAGGAAGCACTAGGCACATGAAGCCAGCCCATGGGCCCAGATCTGCCAGGGAGCATCAGGAAACGGGCTGTGGGATACAGGAAGGGAAGGTATTTCCGGGGGCAGCCAGGGAGTTCTACATTCTGGTGTCAGAGCTTTTCGAGACTGGTCATCAGGGATGGAAGTATCTGGGGGTCTGGCCAGGTCCTGCTCTGTTTGTCAGACCTTCTTTCATCCACACCGACCCAGACACTGTGGACCCCTGACCCTACATACCTGTGATATCCCACAGGTGCCAGTACTGGGTGGTTTGGTGTGCCAACTTCACACAAGCTACAGTCCTCAGAGGGAGGAGCCTCAGCTGAGGAAATGCCTCCTTGAGATCCAACTATAAGACATTTTCTTATTTAGTGATCGATGGGGGGGGGGGCAGTCCATGGTGGGTGGTTCTATCCCTAGGCTGGTGGCCCTGGGTTCTATGAGAAAGCAGGCTGGACAAGCCATGAGGAGCAAACCAGTCAGCAGCACCCCTCCATGGCCTCTGCATCAGCTCCTGCCTCCAGGTTCCTGCCCTGCTTGAATTCCTGTCCTGCCTTCCTTCAGTGATGAACAGCAATGCTGAAGTATAAGCCAAATAAACCCTTTCCTCCCCAACTTGCTTTTTGGTCATGGTGTTTCATCACAGCAATAGAAACCCTAACTAAGACAGTACCCTTTGCATTTTGGGTAATAATGACTTAAGGTTTCTCTCACAAGCTGCTTATCGTGAGGCCCCCGGAGCACTGTGATGACAGAACACAGAAGGGGTACCCTCCTCTCTGCAGCCGACTTCTAAGCCCTTGGCAAGGCTGCAGGGGTGCTGATAGTGGGTCTCACTGTAACTCTGGGTGACAGCAAACTGCATAAGGTCCGTGAGTACACACAAACCCTGTCCTGAAACTTTGGATGACCCCCTAAATATAACCCAGGTGTCCGCTTTCCAAATGGTAACTCCAGGCAAACCTTCCTCTTTCCCAGGGCCCCAGCCTCCGGCTGAGGAGTCTCCTGACCCAGTTCCACTCAGAGGCAGCCCCCAGCCTCTTCCTCTTGGAGACCCTGCACTCATTCCTCACATCCACCAGATCTGCCTTAGGGCAGGATGAAAAGGAAGCCCGAGACAGCCTATGGCGATATCTCCCCACAACCAACTTTTCCCCAAGTCTGTCCTGCCGGCCTCAGGCTTAATCTACGGTTTTTCTGGACATTGAGGTTCATACTTTTGACCCAGAGATGACTGTGGGTCACTGCCCTGGCAGGAACTGGAAGGGGAAGGAGGAAGTCTGTCCAGATGGGGTGTGTGGGAGTGCTGGTAGTGTGTACTGGCCCTGCTTTTTAGCCTCCTTTGCCCTCACAGCTGTTTTATGAAGACAAGCTGCCCCTACCTGTGTCCAGCCTCTGGTCCCTGGCGACAGCTGTGGCTTCTGGGCTACCCATGCCCGCTCTCTGGTGCAGATCCTGGGGAGGCTGCAGGCAGGCATGGAAGGCAGTGAGCGTGGTGCCCATCTGCACCCGCTGGTGAGTTCCAAGTACCCGAAGTCCCAACACAGCGGAGGACAGGGGTCCCCGTGACCACTCTGTGAAGCGGCCACACCCTAAGATGGCTCTCAGCTCATTGCTGGAGGACAAAGGCGAATGCAGAAACACCAGCCCCGCTGGCCGGCACAGGGCCATGAGCTGCTGCCTCTGGGAACAATGCACAGTGTCAAGTTCTGGGGACACTCCTCTGCTGATGCTACATTGGGAAGAGGCCCTTGGCCTCCCAGACGCTGGCATCGAGGACTCAGCTCCATGTACCCTGTGGGTCATCATCAGCACCATGACAGCCCTTCCCCTTACCCTCCCCTTTAATCCTCCCAACCGTCTAACGAGGTCACTCTGCTGTCCCTATTCTCAAGGTCCAGATAGGTCAGAGTAACAGGGCTGGCTCAAGCCCTCAGTTTAACCCAGAGCCCTGTCACGTCATGGCTGAGAGCCTAGAATCACATGGAATGGAGGGAGCCAGGATGCTACAGCCAAATTCAGGGGAGGGGTTTGAGGAAACACACAATTGTCTTCGCCTCCCCAAGATGAGCTTGCTGGGCCATGGTCAAGGGGATAGAATGCTGCAGTCCCTGGAGGGATGCTGGGACCCAAATTCTGGTCCTCTGGAAGAGCAGCAAGTACCCTTGACCTCTCAGCCATCTCTCTAGCCACCCCTCCCCACTCTACTTATTACTAAACAACATGTGTAATTTATAAATAAGAGATATTTCTATCATAAATTTGTGTTGTCAATTAAATTACAGAGAATCATTGCAAGAATGTGTGTGTGTGTGTGTGTGTGTGTGTGTGTGTGACTCTTGCATTTCCAATTCAACTACGATTTGACAATTGCTCACAATACCGTAGAGCCCCAAAGCGGAAATGGCGTAGTGGGGAGGATTGCCTGTAAATAGCGCAGGTGGCATGGTTCACACTGGCTATTACTTTGTTCTTGAGTATGAAGTAATTTCTCTGTACTTGTCTATCAGTTGCTGAGGCAGGAATACTTAAATTTCCAACTCTAAGTGTTTTTAAACTTTGTACCAGTATCATTTGGATGTGAAATGTCCCTCACCATCTTCGGTGGTGAATGTTTTGTCCTCCAGACGGTGGCGCTGTTTTAGGACAGTCTATAAACCTTAGGAGTTAGGACCTAGTTGGGGGAAATGAGTCCCTGGTCCTCAGTCCTTTCTTCACTCTTTCTGTTTCCTACACAACATGTACTGAGACGCCCTCCTCCTCCATACTCAATCCACTGTGACATCCTGTCTTACCATTTGAGAAGAACAACAGAACCAAGGACTGTGAGCCGGAGCCTCCGAGATCATGAGCTAAAATAAATATCTCCCATTCGGTTGCTCCTACCAGATATTTGGTCCTAACAGCAATAAAACTAGCATAGAAAATCGGTACCAGGAGTGGGGTCCGGCTAGCTGACAAGCATCTTTCTCACCGTCCAGATGTAAGACATCTGGGTTCTTTTTGGTAGACCTAGATCTGTAACAGCCACATCTTCTTTGTTAATCACTTGTCTTGCTTCCATGGGGGCAGGAAGGCTGATGGAAATAAGGAAGGAAGGGTTCATTTTTGGCTCTGAGTTTGAAGGTATGATCCATCATGGTAGGAGAGGTCATAATGACAGAGGTTTTGAGGCAGCTGGTTACCAGCTAAGGATATAGGTTTCAGCATAGGAGTCTGTCGTGAACACTTTCAATCTAAATGACTACAGGTACGACAGGACACCTCAATACCTGTCCCCATTGTGTGCTTGAACCAGGTCACACAACTGCACCCCTCAAACACTGAGAGCTCTGCCTCTAGCCCTGACTTTTTGGCACCTCCTTATACATCTGCCAGCCTTTCCTTGATGCATTCTGGGGGTGGGGAGAGCAGACAAAGTCTCACACTACATACATACGGCCAGCCTTGAGCCATCTCTATGGACCAGGCTGGCCTGGAACTCACAGAGATCCACCTGCCTCTGCCTTCTGGGTGCTGAGACTAAAGGTGTATGTCACACGCCCAGCTCCCTCGTGCAGTTTTGAAGCTGTTTTGGGGTATCGGGGACTGACATGGCATTGTGATGACTTCGCCCCTGCCATCCCGCAGTGTCTTCTGCCTGCCATGGCCTCTGAGTAAACTGGACCCAGTCCATTTGGGCCCTCCTTTTTTTTTTTTTCTGTCCTTTTAATGCTCTGCTTTTGAAATGTAGCCCTCGGACACCAAAGGTCCTTTTGGGGGTGATTGGGCTGAAATCTCCATCTCATGGTTGATTTTCCTTATCTTACTGTTTATCTCCCCCCTTTATTTTGGTCAATTGAGTTGCGAGTAATTCTTTCATTGAGGTAAACTCGAGGGAGCTCACTATAAACAAAAGTCTTGCTCTCTGCTCTGGGATCTCGAGTGGTTCTGTTCCGTGCTTTGGTCGTTTCCCTGCTGGTTTCCAATGTTGTGCCCTGTGGCATCGGTAGCTTGTGGCCAGCCACCTGCAGGTGCCCTTCTGCCTCCTCACCTGGGCAGGTAAGAGCCTTCCAGCCTCACCTGTTGCTCCATGGTCTTCGCCCTTCTTTTATATAGTTGTTTGTGTTCTTTTGCCTTTTACACGTTAGGAGTCGCACAACACACACAGGCGCCAGTTTTTTAAGCAGGTCTTTTGAAATCGCAGCTGAATTGGCCACTCTTTGTGAGTGTTTCTGTCATGGTCGCCCTGCACACCGGGATGCCATGATGAATAAACAGCTTCTTCTCTGGCTTCTGGAGCGCACTATTTGTACTTTGATTGTGACATTGTTTTAACGCTGTTTTTATTAGTTTGTCATTCTTCTGCATTGGACAATAAGGTCCTTGAGAGACAAAGCAGTATCTGTTCATCCTGGAGCTCAGCACAATGCCTGGTGTTGGGCAGGAGTTCAGCAAATGTTGGGCCATCGCTCATTTCCTGACTGCCAAATGACTTACGGAGCGGCGGAATGATGAGACCACAGAAACACAAACACTAAACATGGGTTTGGACATGTCCCAGCAGACAGACCAGAAAACGACACTTAGGTACATCTACTCCCCTGTCTCCACCTTCACCATCAACCTCCCATGGGAGATGCAGCAGGAGGGCCAGCAGGGGCCATCCTAGTAGGCTCCAGTAGCCTAACTATAAAATGTTCCCCAACCACAATGAGGCCACTGGCAGTCCTGACTTTGGCCTCCTTCCAGACACTTGAGTGTGTAATGAGTCCAGAGCCCTTGGGTGTGTTTGCATTAGAATCAATGTGACTGTAGGTGGGGTTCAGGGAAGGGGACTGGGTCACATCTGGCCCATGTTCTAGCTGCCCTGGAAAGTGACTCAGGGCCTCATGCTTGCTCCTGATCTCGTTAGGAAACTGAGGCAGCTTAGTGTCTTTATCCAACACAAAGAATTTTCTGGAACCCAACTAGCATACTGCCTGTTTAGCCATGTGGTTAGGATTCATGCTTTAAGACATGCCTGGGTGCTTGGCTGAGCCTTGCTGGTGGCCGTGTGAAGTGGCTGGGTGGCTCTGGGCTGGACAAGGCCAGGGCTGCTTACAACGGGCAACAATGTTCTCAGCTCCCCCGAAACACGAGGATGTGGAAATATTTCTCTTCTAGCATTTTGAATCCAGAACAATTCCAGCATTATGGCTTCTGCCATGCTTGGCTGACCTTTCTGTAATTTTCTAAGCCTTGAAATGTTGAAACGGCTAGGAAAAATGTTCACAATGTGCTTTATTGGAAGTTTCTACATAAATAAATTAAAAACCAGAAATAATATTTTCCCCTTGTAGAGAGTTCTAACCTATTACAGAAGAGAACTCGTTTCAAAGTGGGCTCTTTAGGCATGCACACAGTCTTGTTTAAAGGGCTAGGGGATGCACTTTCAAGTGCAGAATTCAATGATTTTCACTCCCCTGCCCCCGTTTATTTACTAAGCATGTGAGTTAGGATGAGATGGGGTCTATCTCCCACTGCTGTGGTGGAAGACCCATGTAGCTCTATGCCCCCAAAGAGAAGATAGCATGCATAGCATCGCCACAGATTTGTTCTAGATCTTTCTTCCTCTCCATACACACTAGTTCGGCTATCGATTGTAGCTAGAGTTTTCCTGCCTTGCCCACAGTCAGGACAAATCTTTGTCTCCCGCCAGTCCCACGGCCACTCAGACCCAACCAAGTAAACACAGAGACTTTATTGCTTTAAACTGTACGGCCGTGGCAGGCTTCTTACTAACTGTTCTTATAGCTTAAATTAGTCCATTTCTACAAATCTATACCCTGCCACGTGGCTTGTGGCTTACCGGCACTTTACATCTTCCTTGTCCTGGAGGTTGCTGCAGGCTGTCTCCTTCTGCCTTCCTGTTTTTTTATTTCTCCTCTCTGTTAGTCCCGCCTATACTTCCTGCCTAGCCACGGCCAATCAGGTTTTATTCAT